TCAATGCCTTAGAAAAAGCCAAGTATATATTATCACAGGTTTTTTCCAAGCAAGAGTTTAATTATACTAGGTTCAAAGTAGAATTAAAAGTTAATGGCAATTTTAGCTCTACTATTGGCAGAATAATCAAGCTAATGCAATCACCCATTTGTCGGCGTCCCTGCAGTGTGGTTAAGTTTTTGCGTGTAAGCTGGTATCTCCATAACTACTGAAGGGATTATGGATTTAAACTTCACACACTTGTTCTCTTTAATTATCTTACATGATTGGCACAAGTCCCATAACTCTTGTTGATGTGTTTTTTTTTCATAGCTATGCCCCTTTTTGGACTTTAAAATTCTTGGTAAAGGTTTTGCTTGTAAGCTGGGATCTCCATGAAGGGCTTGTGCCTTTTTAGTGGACAATATAATAAAGCAGTGATTAACACGATAAAACATCTTAATAACAAACCTTTGTACCTTTTCGGACAATTTTATGTTTTCATATAGGTAAGTATTATTATACTCAATAAAACACCCTTGTGACAACTTTTCGAATAGTCGAGCGTTACTGTCCTCCGACAGTTCTTGTTTTTCTTTGTTTTTGATTTCTGTATCAGAAAAAATCACCTGAACTTCTTTCTTAATGCAAACAGTTCAGTTTGTCATAGCTTTGTATATTATAAATTTAACCTTAATTTACACTCAGAGGCATCCTGGGTCAAGGTCAGTACTGCTTAAAATGTATTATGTATAACATGCATGAAAATAAACACTTATAATTAAGTACTTACTCGTAAATCGATTCATGATTTAAATCGATTTTGAATGAGTTTCGATACAAGAACCCTGGATGTGCTATTTGCAATGTTTTGATAACCTTTCATTAGTATGACATTTGATTGGAAGAGGTCAAGGTCATGTTACCAATAGTGTTGAATTGATTTTTTATTTTCAGCTGTACATGTACATATTGATGTGGCCGCGGCACAGACAGGAATAACAAGATTTGGTCAAATGTATCCCGATTGGATGTAAGTTCCTTATTTGAAATCTGTTTCAAAAACATTAAAGCATCATGCCTCCAGATTCCTGCTTATTTTCATGAAAATTTTGAAAATGTATTTAAAAGTAAAATATTGTGAAGTGAACAAAGAAAGTAATTTACGCATTACAAACCGTATTTACAATCCAAGTAAATTACCAAACAAGTATGAATCGAGTGTCAGTTGTGTATATAACATATTTATTTCCAATCCATATGGCATTTTGTATGTTTTATTCCTTTTATCATGATATTTCTACCTTATTAGTAAAGTTATTACTAATGGTATAAGTGTTATCTTGTCATGATTTGACATGTAACAATTAGTTTTGACAGGCTTTTTGTCGACTTGTCAATAATTTTAAGTATTTTGAACATAAAAATAGCATAAATGTTTAGGTTGACTGCTTTAGATTTGATAACATATTTCATGGGACATTATAAATTTGATAAGTATCTAATGAGCAGAGAAGAAAAGTTTATAACTCTTCCAAGGAATAGTGGTTTTTAATTTGTTGAACTAATAATCTTACGATTGCTTATATATTTGGTGGCTCAAACCCTGTTAGGGGCAAGCCTTTGTTTCCTTCAGCAAGAAGCCTTAAACTCATTGCTTAGTACTAGTTTGTTCAAGGAAGTTGGAACAGATTCAAGATTAGTCTCTTAGCTAATAATTTCCTACCAAATAAAACTTTGTAATGTTATAAATACTATCTAATTTTATTGGTATATACATGTATTTATCTATAGGCATATTTTGAACAAATTTCATTTTTCATTTTCAGATACAATAAAACTGAAGACTTGGTGCCAGGGGGGTCAGAAATGATGTCATACTCTCATCTTATAATTGGAAATACTACTAACTTAAAATATTATGAAAATAGCCATATTGTAATAGACACAGTGGAAGGATTTGATGGGTTACATATTGACAGAAATAAGCTGCCATTCTTTTTCTGGAAACATAAACCCAAAATGTGGATACTGAAGAAAATCTGAAGTGTATTCAAAAAGTTAATTTTCCAAAGATATGAAGATTAGACTTTCCTATTTTCAGAAGTAGATTATTACAGGGTTGGTGATAACATGGCACTGGGTCACTGTTTATGATATTTGTTAAATTTTTTATTATATCTTTCAATATTTGAAAAAAAAACATATAAACTATGTTCTAGGCTAATATTTTCCGATTCAAATGGTACATTTTTTTCCAATGCAGCTTTTGTTCTTTTCCTCTATATGCTTGCATAAATTGTAACACATATTTTCATAAAGATACTTCTGCTGGAAGCGTAACGGGAAAAGTAACATAACTACAATTGAAATATAAATATTTTAAATGGAAACCTGGAATATGGTTCTTGTTTATTTTTCAAATATTGAAAAATATATCGAAAAATAGACTTACTCCGGAATTAAGAACATTTTAGTTTTTCCCAGCTAATCCGTAGGTACAAACAGTTACAGCTTTGAAAATAAGCACAACAGGTTGACTATTGTGACAGGAAATGCACTGTGAAGCTATTATAGTAAAAGTTTGTACCTGAATAAGTACCTGAATAAGTACCTGAATAAGCTAGGAAAAATCCACATTTGTTGAGTTCTATAATGCTACCGTAACCAAAAAAGTTACGTGTTCACCCACTCTATGACGTTATTTACTTTTAGTGTTTGGGTGCAACATAATCATTATCAAAAAGTTCCTTAATATTGATTGAAGTTATCAGGTTGACTTTACATTTTGATCTACCAGATTGTATTCAAGATCAAGTTGCTAAGCTGAAATAAAATGTGAGGTTAATAGCCACTCGGTGTATGCTATGTTCAGATTGTCTTTATTATTTGTGCATTTAATGAACACCTGTGTGTACACAAAACCAGGTGTTATTGTGATTTCAAGATCCTGCCAGGTGTAAAAAGATTAAAGTATTTATGAATTTGAACCCAAATATGGTACAAGGTGGTTTTAATTTCAAGTTTTTAGCAGCTGGCCAATATGGCTGAAGACCTATTTCATGTTTAAATCACCAGTGGCAAAAATGTGCCTGTGTCACCAATATATAACTAGGACAGCATACATATATTAATTTAAAGACATATTAACCCTCAGAAATCCATGTTTAATTTGAATGACGGCGTGGCCGAGTGGTTAACGTGTCGGACTAGTAATCTAAGGATTGCTGACCGCGTGGGTTTAAACCCTGTCAGGGGCAAGCCGTTGTTTCCTTGAGCAAGATACTTTACATTCATTTCTTAGTACTGGTTGCGCCCAGGAACGGATTCGAGAGTATAGCTTCCAACACAATCAAACTAAAATAAATTTGTATAAACTAAATCCATGTTTGAATTATTTAGAAATATTAAACATGTGTTTATAACTGAAGGAAGTTATTACTGTGCTGAAAAGGCAGTATATATAATGTGTCGTAAAGTAAGCAAAATGTATACAAAAAAAGTATTTTGACTTCCACACAAAATACTTATTCGCTTTAATTATTACCAATCACCAACAGAGCCAAAAGATTTTTTAGACACTAACAAGACACATGTACCAGAAAAAAGTTTTTGAGGAAAAAAGATGTATTTTTGAGGCATAATAGGCCTTTAATATTAAAATGTCTGGACAATGTTCATTATGCACCAATTGTCTCATATTTTTATTTCTCAAAACCTCTTCTTTTGTATGTTGTGTTACAAAATGTTACCTGCTCCTCGGCCATATAGCTAAACAATTTTTTTTTTTTTTTTTTTTTTTTGGGGGGGGGGGGGTATTAGTAGTAATTGGGATTTAATGTTTTGTATGGAAGTCTAGCCAAATTATATGTACCTCTACAAGTTTTGCCAATTTTGACACATTCGTTCACACTCATCATTGCTTTCATCATGTGATAAGCATCTAATTCATTGAGGAGAAATCTTGATTCATTTCTGATATGGCATATTGTGCTTTTACAGAGGGCCAAGTCAATAACACAAGGTCGGCAAACATTAAAGAGAAATAGCTGTAAAATTTTATCCATTATTTTATTAGAATATAAAAATCATTCACATGTGGAGGAAGAGTAGAGTTTTTCAAAATAAATAAAGACTATTTACAAATATAAAATTAGATAATTCTTTAAAAAAAATATGGAATCACAACCAGTATAACTAAAGACAAAATTCATGAAACAAATAACAAAATAAATAAACAAAGAGTTGATGTGTGAAAATTAATAAAAAAAACACTGAACCAAGCTGTAAAGTGTGAAAGGATGGAAGTAAATGAACATTACAGTTCCATATTTTTGTATCTATACTTAGAATGTAATAACTGGTGTAAATGATGTTTTTTATGGCTACTTCAATAATGCCGATTAAAGACACCTGGATATAGCAGATATTGACAGGTTTAGCAAAGGATACTTGAAACTTTTGTAAAAAGGAAAGCTATTATTTAAATCATTTTAATCCTATTTCACTAGGATATTTCATTAAAATTCTAAGAGGATTAAGTCTAGCATTGATCACTAATAAAATGTATACTTTATTCTACATTATCTTAATTGAATTATATAACAATTGTCTCAAAAAATGACAAGTTTTTATGTCTTAAGGTTTAAGTCTTGGAATTTAAACAATAATATTGAATAATAGTTAAATTAAAAAATATATCTGGATTTCATTTTAAAGTAACATGTCAGAAGGCACAACAAATAAACATTTGATATGTTATTTTTGTCTTGGACGGACTTTGTAGACAGTAGATTTTATTCCTCACCCCTGGCCCTCTGGGAAATTGCCTTTACTAAAAGTATAGAGCAGGGCCAGTTTGCATATCCATGCAATTTGACCAGTCTCTGATCAATTTTTTCACATTGAAAGTTCAAAGTTCCAAATTCAAAACTCAAAGGTCCAGTACACATATTCAGAGGAGAAGGTTTAAACAAGCTGTTGAACACGGTGCACCATGAGGTCTCTCAGAGAATTTTAAGTTTCCACGTCAGATCTAGGATTCAATTTTGTGCCTGCAGAACGGGCAGTGACCATGTTGTAAATACTGTAGTTCAAAATCATCTGTGTGGAACAACTGAAATAAAAGTTCAACAGTTTGTAATATTACCAAAGGTACTTCATATATTTACTGAAACCAAGGTATGAAACCATAATCTAATTTATTAAACATTATGTTGCAAATCATTGCTGGCATTTCCTTTTGTGGTAATATCGTTATCTTATTGCAGTTACGGGGTAACTCCCAAATTTGAAATGTGTTTCTCTGTTGTAATACTAATGAGATGACTGATTATCATATCTTTTTAGTGTAACAGATAGATGAGAGCCAGGGTGCACGTCTGAACATTATTTCAGGCACAAAGGTGAAACCACTTATGTTTTTAAAATTTCCCCTTCTGTTATTTTATTCTTTTTGTTTGGTTGGATTTAACAGCACTTCAACAAAGGGTTGGTCATTTTGTGCTGAGGCTTTGTGATTGACAAAACCTCGGCCATGAGAGGCCTGTGATTCATCAATTATTATTGATGTGCCCAATCATTTTGACATATTTTGTACAACAAATATTAATACATGTATCTGAATTAACTTTTCAAACCATAATTTTCTTTGTATGACTTTGGAAACAGCAGTGAGAGACAAACGATCATTAGACTCCATGTTGGAGATCAAATATCATGGAGAATTTTCGTCTTGCCAGAGGATAGAACAAGCAAATAAAATGCTGGCCCTATTGGGCTAAGTAGGCAAATTGAAATTTTATGTATAGAACTTTTTTTAAAATGCTATTATACAACATTAAACAAGCAATTATCATAGTATTGCAAGCAATCCATAAGTCCCCTACCGGTTAGAACCCCATCAACATTCTGAAGGGCCATTGGCCATTCACTAATGTTTTAATTTTTCTATATTTTAAGTAAATTTGTTGGAAAAGTTCTTTAAAAGTGATCACAGGAAACATTTTTAATGAACAGCTAGACAGACGGACTGAAGGACACTCTAAAGTTAATATTTGAAACATCTCTGTTACCAAAATATAACATTTTTAAAAGCAAAATTCTTAAAGAGGAGATAACTCTTGAATTAAAGATGCAATTTCATAAAAAAAATTCAGCTCTTTTTGACTAATCACAAATAATGTTATATTTGCCATGTTTTAAGCCTATTTGTTGCCAAGGCAACCAATATTTTTTCAAAATAGGGAGAACAGATAAGACATGCATAATCTCAAGACTGCCATCTACCCATATGTCAAGTTTCATAAAAATATTTCCAGTACTTTTTGAGTTATCACTGGATTCAGTGTATGTGTAAAATTTGCCATATTTTCAGTCTATGTGTTGCCATAGCAACCAGAATTTTCAACATAGGAAGAAAAGAAAAAGACGTGCATAATCTCCAGACTGCCATCTACCCATATTACAAGTTTCATAAAAATATTTTTATTACTTTTTGTGTTAACACAGGATCCAGTTTATGTGTAAAATTTGCCATATTTTCAGTCTATTTGTTGCCATAGCAACCAGAATCTTCAACATACGAAGAAAAGAAAAAGACGTGCATAATCTCCAGACTGCCATCTACCCATATTTCAAGTTTCATAAAAATATTTCCAGTACTTTTTGCATTATCACTGGATCCAGTTTATGTGTAAAATTTGCCATATTTTAAGCCTATTTGTTGCCATAGCAACCAGAATTTTCAACATAGGAAGAAAAGAAAAAGACGTGCATAATCTCCATACTGCCATCTATCCATATATCAAGTTTCATAAAAATATTTTCAGTACTTTTCAAGTTATCGCGGGATCCAGTTTTGTGGACGGACGGACTGACGGACTGACTGACAGACAGACGGACGGAGGGTAAACCTAAAGTCCCCTCCGGTAAACCGGTAGGGGACTAATAAAATAAGTACAAGACAAACCTTTGAACAACTAGGACACATTGTTATCGTCACATCTGGTAACAGTGATCTGAAATATTGATGGCGCAGTGGTTTCGGCCATTTTCTGATGTAAACGTCTGCTCGCGACATCGTCTTCAACACGTTACGATTTACAATCACAGGTCTGAACTCTGTACTCTCTTGCTGTAAATACCAGAATACAATTATTTTATTGTTAAACTATCATTATAGCATTATTATTTGAATGCAAGCAGGGATAATGGCCTTCCTTTGTCACCAAAATAATGTGCAATCTGGCAAGACATTATATTGTTTACTTCTCAAATTTAGCTATTTTATATTGAAACCTGATAAAAAATAAATACTTATAAAGATGATTAAAAACTAATTGTACGGCTAGCCCATTATACAAATTTCGCAGTGTTTTGGTTAATATTATTAATTATTCTATATTTCATATTACTATTTTAGTAAATATCTTCCTCATCCATTAAGTGAGCTTTCTTGTTCAATATTGATATAAGGAAATTAAAAATCTTTCACAGTACATATTCATAGACAGGTCTACAGAATAAAATTCAGAAGAATCAACACACAGAGTATATGTATAGAATACAGAAAACACAATATTGAACCAAAAAGAAATTTAAACAAAATGCCCCTTCTGGAGTTTCTGTTTTCCTTTTCAGAGTTTTTCATCTTTCTTTTTTTTTCCAAGCCAAATACTTGTACATGTAAGTGTTATTAAATGATAATGTTTTCTTGTCCAAGTTTTCTTTCTACTTTTTTTCAAGCCAAATATTTGTATATGTTATTAAATGAGCCACACCATGACAAAACCAACGTAATGCATTTGCGACCAGCATGGATCCAGACGAGCCTGTGCATCCACGCAGTCTGATCAGGATCCATGCTGTTCGCTAACGAACCTCTAGAACAAGTAGAGAAACTGATAATGAACAGCATGGATCCTGATCAGACTGCGCGGATGTGCAGGCTAGTCTAGATCCATGCTGGTCGCAAACGCATTATGTTGGTTTTGTCATGGCGCGGCTAAAATGAGAGTGTAGAAAACTCACATCAAAGGTCATCAGTTTGGTAGAGAAAGGATCCTCTTCTTCAATCTCTTCCTCTGCTTCATCTCCAAGTCTCAGTGACTGCATATCTTAAATCTAGGTCAAGGTCATTTCCCATTTTCATTTTTAAATTTTTGGTGTATTTATACATGTTAAGCTACTGATGTAAACAGACATTTGTTGAATGCATGAATCTCATTTATTTGATACATAAAAAAGGATCTTGAACAATTTATTTTCATCGCAGATTTTCAAGAATGTAAATGTTAAATGGCCCTGCAAATAAGTGTAATCCACTATATTTTCTGCAAGTATATAACAGACTTGTGTACCTTGTTTCTATAAGTGCATAGACTAAATTCTCAATGTAAGTTAAAGTGTAATAAATTATGATTTCTATAAATAAATGCAATAATTCCTGTGTACAAGTACACATATAACAGAACATAATGTTTGCTAGATAAGGATACTGCCCATTCTAGATTCCTGCCAATTTTTCTCCTCTTTCTTTTCCTTAGGTATAGAAAGATCTAGAATCTGTATGGCCTCCTCATCTGTTATACCACTTTCTAACACAAACTCAACCAGGGGTAACACCTCTATAAAAATATCAAAATGTTGTTTGTATACAGTGTAAGAAAACTTCATTAAATTGGATAAATCTATCGTGGTAGAAAAAAAAGTTAATCAAATGCCTTTCTATTAAATTAAATACTTAATACTAGGATGCAAGAATGGTCTTACAGTGTTCAAATACTCAACTGCCCCTTGTGGCTGAGGGGTTGCCTTAAATGGTAGAAGCATGAGAATTTCAGCCACCGTTTTATCCTGGGTGATCATAAGTGGCAATTAAATGGGTTCAAATTACCGGTGACAATGCATCTCTTAGCTACAGCAGGTGAACTACTTTTGACCACTGGTGTTACTTTCAATTTTTAGCACTCAAGGTTAGCAAAAATCAGTACCTAAACTATTTTACCTTAGCCTGTTGGCCGCAAAACATTTTACACATACAACCAATACAGACCAAGATCAGCCAACGCATCTGATCATAGTCTGCTTTGTCCACTTTTTAACCAATTAATGTTTTAAAATTGTCCTTAAAATGACAAATGATTTTTATCTAGATTGTAAGCTGGACAATACCATTTATTTTAGGGTTGATATCAGAAATCCTTAAAACTGAAAATAAAGTAAACAAAGAATTTTTTGCATGGTAAATATAAAAAACTTTGGTGAACTCACCAAAGGAGACAAAGGAATGTACGAATGGTTGTTTACAGTTGATACACTGACTACCTCCATTATTCAGTAGTGGATTAGTCGTTGAACATCTGTAACACATAGGCAACAACTCCTGAAAATAAAAGTTTTTTTGTTTTGTTTTGGGTTTTACGTCACATCGACACAGTATAGGTCATATCGCGACGTTCCAGCTTTACTGGTGGAGGAAGACCTCAGGTGCCCTTCCGTGCATTATTTCAGGCACAAACGGGTACCCGAGTAGAACCACCGACGTTCCGTAAGCTAGCTGGATAGCTTCCTCACATGAAAGAATCCAAAGTTCCTGTCGGGATTCGAACCCACAGAGGTGAGGGGCAAGTGGTTTGAAGTCAACGACCTCGGCCACGGACGCCCCTGAAAATAAAATAATACATAAGAATATTTTTAAGCACAGTTGCAGTATCTATAAACTAATGAAGTGTTTAGTATACCCTCCATAGGCATTGTAGGAATCTCGATTCTGTAGAAGTATGTGTACTGTCTTATTTAATCCTCAATTAATTTACAACTTCTCCACATAATTCATTTGAATTAGAAGTGGAGGAGACAATCATCTTCAAATTGTAACAGAAAGACATGAAATGTGCAGAGTCTACAGACTGCCAACTTTCTCTTATGTGGTAACGGTTCTGGCTAAATTTCCTGTGATATAAATCTACAGTTTACCATGTATAAACACAACTATGTATAGCGCATGACTTTAATATATATCTTTACACAGTGTTGCTCTATGACACAGTGTGTCACTAAATTGGTAAAATATCACTGAAGAAAGTTTTCAATCAAAATCACTGAGATATTAGATAATTAACTAATGTCTACTATAAATACTAATTTCTTATTTACAACTGTTTAATTGAACTGCTGAAATCCTGTACATGCGTAGTGATAAAGTGAACTTCGGCCCCTGGCAACAGTTCCGAATAACATCCATGATACCTCAGGGGAACAGTTTTGACTGTTGCATTAACACCCATGAAAAAACTGTATACTTAATATCAAGATGCCTTAAAACCTATCAATATCCACTTGTATACCTGAATTTTTCTGTAGAACTGAAATTTTAGATCACAAGAAAAAAGGTTAAGTCATTACCTCCCCATCTAAGAAGGGCTTAGATCTGATAATGATACTCCCTAGATCTACTGCCTCCTGGAACCTTGGTGGAACTCGAGTGTTCTGTAGCTTCTCGTAGGCATATCGAGCTAGTTTATACGCCCCTAGGTTCTTACTCTGCTTCGCTAGTGCATATAATGTGCCACTGTGTTACATTAAGGATAATATTGCCATGAACTATAACTATAATAACCTGCTTATTTTAATTGATTTTGTTTATCTCACATGCACAAAACAATTCAGCAAATGGAATTAAACTCTTCAAGCTATGTCACTTTTGAGATTCGTAGCCAGTCATTTTAAGTCATTCACCTATGCATACAAGAAATATATATCTCGAGCACAATTCATTTTTGTGCAGCGACATGATTTTTTTACACAAATAGATGCTTAGTAAATATGGATCCTTATATTTTGTTAATTTTTCTATTTACATTATCAAAGATCTCTTATTTATCATTATTATCAACGAGATAAAGGACATGGCCTTTATAACTGTTAAATAAGGCTCTCTGAATTAAGTTACTATATTCAAGTGAGTTTTGCTGTGAATTATTAAAGATAAAAGAAAGTAAAATTACATGACATCTGCTAGATGTGCAGAGCTCTTAAAGTTAAAGTCTCCTATTATAACAATTGTGTAAAAATTGAAGAAAAAGAATAAACCTTCTCACTAATGACTATATATGGGGATCATTTCTAATATAGTTTATACTTAGATTGAATAAAAATCTCTCACAATTCTATCATATTCATGTAACAAAGTTAAGATATTTTAGATATTGGTGGTATAATATGATTTTCCTTTATAAATATGATAGAATTTGACAGTTCACCTAAATCAGCTGTTTATATTACATTTTTCATATTTTGTCAATTACCAGTATATGAAATAGAATATTGATCCCCGAATGGCTGCCACTTTTGGAAAAGGGAGGTAAATCTTGTAAATATCTGGAACTATCTATAACTTTTTAGTGACATATATGGACAAAGGATACGCTTTAGATATACCATGTGGAATGTTATCATGCATCTGATGTAACAAGTAACGTGAAATGTTAAACAACGCCTCCGGAAGATGTGACGTAAAAGGTTCATCCTGAAATACATTTGTAGCATATAAAATACTATAATGATTTTCATATTCAACGTCTGTTATTTCATAATTCCTGCACAAAATACTAAAAGAGCGTGAAGCATTATAGAGTGAAGGTGGACAGATATTTCAGGAAGAAAGAACATGTATATTATTTAAGTCTCATTATTCAACATGTACATGAATATTTATTTCAACACCTTTCAAAAAATCTTAAGGACCCAAATACATTAAAATTTTAATTAATTCATATTAAAATGATTAAATAGATATTTGCTATCACAATCAATATAAGTTCATATTAAAATCTTCATTAAAACTTATTTATATAAAACAGATAGTTTTTATTACCAATTTTTTATACACACAAAAAAAAAAACAAGATAATTTTTATAACCATCTTTATATAGAAACAAATAAACTTTCCTTTTGGATAAGCCTCAGTTATAATAATTTTTATAAATTCAAATGTGCAAATTTCTTGTTACTAATGTGTATCAGTTCCTACATCAGTACTGGTGTCATATGAGGACACATAGCTACGGCCATTTCAGGGCTCAAACTTGAGAACCAGACACCTTTACCAACAGGTCATTGTTCCCTTTTTTTTTCAAAATGCATTTTTTCCCCAAATTTATCAAAGATGCTCATTTTGGCCTGTATTTTAAACCTTACACAAGAGCTGTCGGTAGGACAGCAACGCTCGACTATTCTTAGTGCTTGATAGTAATAAAAAGGCTTGATACAGTTACCTCCTCCTGTTTACAGGTTGGGGTAATGATGGTGAACAAGTGTGCAAAGTTTCAAAGCCATAGGTCAATGGAGTTTGAAAATATTTGAACTATTACAAAAACTTTAACGTAAATTCTAAGTCGAAAAAGGGGCATAATTCTGTCAAAATGCTTGATACAGTTACCTCCTCCTGTTTACAGGTTGGGGTAATGATGGTGAACAAGTGTGCAAAGTTTCAAAGACATATGTCAATGGACTTTGAAAATATTTGAACTATTACAAAAACTTTAACGTGAATTCTAAGTCAAAAAAGGGGCATAATTCTGTCAAAATGCTTGATAGAGTTACCTCCTCCTGTCTACAGGTTGGGTTAATGATGGTGAACAAGTGTGCAAAGTTTCAAAGACATATGTCAATGGACTTTGAAAATATTTGAACTATTACAAAAACTTTAACGTAAATTCTAAGTCGAAAAAGGGGCATAATTCTGTCAAAATGCTTGATAGAGTTACCTCCTCCTGTCTACAGGTTGGGGTAATGATGGTGAACAAGTGTGCAAAGTTTCAAAGACATATGTCAATGGACTTTGAAAATATTTGAACTATTACAAAAACTTTAACGTAAATTCTAAGTCGAAAAAGGGGCATAATTCTGTCAAAATGCTTGATAGAGTTATCTCCTCCTGTCTACAGGTTGGGTAATGATGGTGAACAAGTGTGCAAAGTTTCAAAGACATATGTCAATGGACTTTGAAAATATTTGAACTATTACAAAAACTTTAACGTAAATTCTAAGTCGAAAAAGGGGCATAATTCTGTCAAAATGCTTGATACAGTTACCTCCTCCTGTCTACAGGTTGGGGTAATGATGGTGAACAAGTGTGCAAAGTTTCAAAGCCATATGTCAATGGACTTTGAAAATATTTAAACTATTACAAAAATTTTAACATAAGTGGTTACGCCGACGCCGACGCTCGGGTGACTACAATAGCTCTACTTATTCTTATCCAATAGTCGAGCTAAAAAATAAGTGTTAGTTACATAAGTGTAAACTTACTGTGTATCTCTGAATGGAATGGTAAGCATAATACATGTCAGCTTTCCTCTGGAAATCATAAAACTTGGGCAACATCTCATCACTCTTGTCTGGTTCTTCTATAAAAAACACAAAATAATCTACTGTACAACCATATTATGTCAGTTATCACATTTCTTATGTTTAATTTTCAGTCTGGTAGTGGTAATTAATTCTACCCAAAGTAAACAGCATGGACTAAGATCTGCTGATACATCAATGCATGTCATGTCTGTTTGCACTGTTTGCTATTCACTCATTTAATATTCTGAATTTTTCCGTAAAAATAAAAGGGTAAAACAAATTGTGAGACTAAACAAGTGTTGGAGCACCACACTAAATACAGTATTCAAGTATATTCAAGTTGCTTGAATGATAAAATGCTTAAATCTCGCTTTTTTACCTGCCAAATTGAGCTTTAATATGTGTGAGCTTTAAAACGTGTAAATCATCTGTTCACACCAATTTATATATGATAATGAATAAAAAATATATATATTTCTACTTTTTGATCATGATTTTTACAAGCGTCTTGAGTAACTGCTCCAACACTGCAGTGAGTTATATCCTTAAGCATTACTCTAGCTAATATCTAAGCACTGTATGGAGAGTTTCCAGAAATAGTACCAGTATCATAAATCTATCTCTACCACTGCATTGTGTGTAAA